TATCGTGTTTGCCGCTGTTGGTGCTGTTGCCAGTGCCTTGGAAGAGGAATTCCTCAAGTATATGGAATCCTTCACTCCGTTCCTCTACAACGCCCTCGGCAACCACGAGGAGCCGGGTCTCTGCTCTCTGGGTGTGGGCCTGGTTGGCGATATCACCCGCGCCTTGAACGAGAAAGTCCAGCCCTTCTGCGATACTTTCATGAATCACCTGCTCAACATCCTGGTGAGTAGGCTTGAACCTGAATGCTGTTAGAGACTTCATATGGCTAATTCCTTCACAGACCAGCAGCGGCCTCCGAGACACGCTGAAGCCGTCCGTTCTCGTGACCTTCGGCGACATTGCCCAGGCTATCGGAACGCAGTTCAGCACTTACCTCTCTGTGGTTGGCCAGGTTCTTCAACAGGCTTCGACCGTGACCCTGGCTAACGATGTGGATGCTGATACTGTTCACTATGTGATTTCGCTTCGTGAGGGTATTATGGATGCTTGGGGAGGCATTCTCTTGGCGTACAAGGGAACACCTCAGGGTAAGTCGGATACTTCACTCCCCATCCGAAAATCCATGCTAATGACGTAGTCGTCACTTTGCAACCCTACGTGGAAAGCATCTTCCAACTGCTCCACATCATTTCCCAGGATCCTCATCGCAGTGAGGGTCTGATGAGGTCCGCCATGGGAGTCCTTGGGTAAGTCTTCGATACCTCTGTGATTATTCTATGAAACAACTGCTAATTTCTTAGTGATGTGTCCGATGCCTTCCCTAATGGCGAGTTCGCTGCTTACTTCCGCAACGACTGGGTCACGGCCTTTGTGCGCGAGGTCAGGAACACCCCTACATATGGGGCGCGGACTATCGACACTGCTCGTTGGGCGCGGGAGCAGGTCAAGCGTCAGATCAACCTGGCGACTGCTGCGGCCATGTCGTGAAATAAACACCATCAGCGCGCCCCCATCCGAATCCTCGGCTATGCTGTGGACCGTCTCTTAGGCGTGGAGGAAGTCACAGTAAGGTCTGTGACGAAGGATGTATTGGCCGAGACATTCAAGGCAGTGCTCTGGATAATCGCAGGGATGGTTGAATTCCATCACCCTGCGTCGAGCCTGGCTAGAAACTCGCAAGCCGGTTCACCTGCCCCACGCCCATTGCCGCGTTACTGACCCCAGCGCAACCGAGTCCCCTTCAACTAGACACCCGACACCCGACACCTAACACCCTGCATCATGCCATGACCCCTCCGTTTGCTCCCCTATGTTTCCTTCATGACCCCGTCATACACTTTCTAGACGCCCCTTTTCCCGTGGCTTTCGGACCATTTCTTTGTCAACGTTCCTGAATAATTCCCCTCGTCAATGCCTGTTCTAATTTCCTTATTTTTTTTTCTTTTCTTTTTTTTTCTCCCCATCCATATTTCTCGTTTTTAATTAGACCAAGAGACTTTTCCCTTTGAAGTCATGTATGCCCAAGTCATGTAACCCCCCTTTGGTACCGGGATCACGAAATGAACTTTTTTATTTGCCTTTTCTCCTGAGATTTGCATCAGCACTAGCACATCATGGGGAGGTGGAGTCAAAAGCTTGTGGAAAGAAGAAAATGTGTATGTGTGGTCGCCAGAGACTTTGATCTCTTCAGACCTACGGTTTAGAGATGTTAGCAAGCCTTTCTTTTAATTGGAGAAAGGCATATATGATGCGGATCAAGCTTAGTGTGTGAAAGAGACTTTTCCGTTCAATGCTCAGTCCTGCACAAATATCCTACCCCAAACCCCACCGAATCCCTCGGCTGGAGGGTGATGTTTTGTAAAAGCCACCGATATAAGTTGTCCCAAAATTCCTTCCTATATATATATCTCCCCGATGCAGAGAAAGAAACCTGGCATCAAATTGAACATTGCTGTGTAGGTCTGGAGATTCGGTCGTATTGTGGAGGAAAACGATATTTATCAAAGTTTGATCGGATGCGCATATAAGTTCGGAGAAAGAGTTGTTCCACATTCTGAATTATAGGTTTAATGACTAGAACCATTCCTTCCTAGGTAGCAATTAGTGATCAGTTTGACACTCATGTTGGCTTCAAATTCCAACATTGCACCTACTTGGGTCGAATTCATCGTTATGCCGAATCGGCGACAACTAAGGTGTTTGCGGCCTGAGGCAGTAAGTGCCTCCACAGCGGGCTGGCTATCAACACGTGATGTGATAAGGGCTTTTCCGCACAAACCCTAAGGGCGCGCACCAAGAAAAGCTAACCATCTCCAAACATCCAAACTTCTTTTCTTTCCACACGACAGCCAGCTCTTCACGACCGCACCCATCAAGCGTTCAACGAGGTATGTATTCTTCGCACCACTCTGTGTTCTCATGGCCCCTTAGCTAGCCCGAGGGAGACAATCATCCTGGCTGTGGACATCGGTGGTGGTAGACCTTGGGAGGTACACCCCCTTTGCGTCTGCCGTCGTCGGGTTTCTTTTGTCCACAGCGTAGGATGATACGTCTCTCTCCTTTGCAGCACGGGCTGAAGAACCCTTCTTCATCAAGTCAAGGGCACTCTTTGCGCTCGAAGGGCTACTAGAGGCTAACTCAAATTGACCCTCATTATTCCACCCCGGCCCGGCCCCCCCCCCCCCTCCTGACAACGGCGGCGGCGGCTGGTGGTTGGTGGGATTTTGAGGAAATTTTGCTTGTGCTTCTCTAGATACCTCATTTCCATCGCAAATTCAAAATTTGCCGATTTGAGAATCTCGTCTCAACAATACTACCGTCAAGATGGTCCGCACCTCCGTCCTGAACGACGCTCTTAACGCCATCAACAACGCCGAGAAGACCGGCAAGCGCCAGGTCTTGATCAGACCTAGCTCCAAGGTCATTGTCAAGTTCCTCTCTGTCATGCAGAAGCATGGTACGTATTGAATTTGCTGGATTCGTTTGGCTTGTTGCGGTTGGAAATAGGAAAGGGGAAAGAAAAAAGAAGGGATGGAAGATGGTGTAAGATCTCCAGCCAAGGGAAAGAAATTCGGGTTGATAACTAGGCGACGGCCTCAATTCTTAACCCACTCCACGACGTTCGCCTTTTAAGTGCCCGAGATATTAAATTTGTGAACCTTGGCGGGGATCTTACACGTTTCCGGGTTTTGCTTCCATGCTTGGCAACGTTTAAATTTCCGCCACATTGCTGACATTTTTCTCTTCGTTTAGGCTACATTGGTGAATTCGAGGAGGTCGACGACCACCGCTCTGGCAAGATTGTCATCCAGCTGAACGGACGGTATGTTGCGGTTGCATGTTTTCCGTCAATCAGACAGGCCATTTTTCTAACGACTCCGCAACAGCCTGAACAAGTGTGGTGTCATCAACCCTCGCTACAACGTCCAGCTGCGTGACCTGGAGAAGTGGGTCGTGAAGCTGCTGCCCTCTCGTCAATTCGGCTACGTCGTGCTCACCACCTCCGCTGGTATCATGGACCACGAGGAGGCCCGTCGCAAGCACGTTGCCGGCAAGATCCTTGGCTTCTTCTACTAGATGCCGACATCAATGTACATACAGAGTGGGAGATTGAGGGGGTGAAAATCTAAAAAAAAGAGTTTTTTTTTCTGTCGAGATTGAGATGGTCACGAAACTATGATGGGTCTGCGGCTTGTATGATGGCGTCTTGGCGAATTGTTTAATGATACCACATTGCGCCCTAGATAGCTTGAACGTCAGGAATAGACCTGTATAGTGAATGACATCTGATCTCGAGGGGTTGCGGGCTGTCATTTGTAGATGCCTCGCTGAGGAATTTTCCAGCTTGCGTAGTGTACGGGGTAAAAGGCGGACCGAGGCTGACTGTTCACCGCTCGATACTGCCGTCGTTATGCATTTCCCCGCTTGTAGATATGGACATACATGGACGGTCTGTCGATACACTGCAATCAATATCTAAGATATCTTTCTCTAAGAGTTCTCACACTTTGACTTTATCAACGCTTTCGCTCCGGCAGCTTTCGGGAGCAATGCCCTTAGACACGATATATCTGACCCGCCATGGGGTACGTATACGCCTACATCCAGTTCATACGATCGTCATGTGCATGTCCATACATACAGTACATACATGTGCTTATTGTAGAGAAGTCATTAACATAGTCTTTACCAGCATCGCATGAACTGGACCATCGACCACACAACAGGCTCCTACCATTCCAACTTCCCTACACCAACCGGCAACCCGGCCGATCCGACGCTGACAGCCCACGGCGTGCGGCAATCGCAGGAGCTTGCGGCGCACGTCGCCAGCGCGGGGTTTGCGCCAAAGCCGTGGCGCGTCTACTGCAGTCCGTTTTATCGCTGTTTGCAGACGATACAGCCGAGTGTGGAGGCGTTGAAGAAGATATCGTCGTCGTCGTCGCCGTCTGAAGAAGATGGAGTTGAGGTTGATCTTGATGTGAGGATAGAGAATGGGTTAGGGTGAGTATATACATGCAAGCATGCATTATCTACATCATAAATTGCGATTTATATATAATATATAAATATAAATATAGTCAACCACTGTTAATTGTATGACAGAGAATGGTTCGGCTCATCAACCTTCTTCTCGCACCCATCCCCCGCATCAGCATCCACTCTGCAATCCCTCTTCCCAACCATCATCCAGCCCAACCCTGAAGAGCACTACACAGCACACGTCATCCCTTCCAACCGCGGCGAGACGATCAGCCAGCTCCACCACCGTGTCGCGACCACCCTCGCCGCCATCATCGCCGACGTGGACGCCGAGATCGCCGCCCTGGAAGCATCGCTGCCGCCCTCGTCGCCCTTGCGCACCTCCAGCAAGGCCATCTTGATCTGCTCCCATGCGGCGCCGCTCATTGCCATGGGGAGGGCGCTAACGGGGAATATGCCCGAGGATGTCAACACGGAGGACTTTAATGTCTTCACTGCTGGGTTGAGTACTTTTGTTCGTAGACAGAGGAAACCATCTTCAGACGCAGGACCTGCTACTGCTAGCTCAGAAGAGGAAAAAACCCCTTACAGAAATCATGATCACAACCTCCTAGCTCCAGGGACAAGGCTCGACCCACCCACTCTCACAGTCCCAGACTGGACAGGCGGCAAGGGCGTCGGCGGCGGATGGGACTGCGTCGCGAATGGAGATTGCAGTTTCTTGAGTGGAGGAGCGGAGCGAGGATGGTGAGTTGTAATCATCATTTACTTTCTTTTGCTGTGTTGGTGCTTGCATGCAATATCATGATGATGATGATGATGATGATGCTTACTATAACGTCTTTTTTTTACAGGCACTTCAATGGCGAAGAGTCCTTCGATACGGGTCCTATGGGTCCGACTTCGAATAACGACGATTCATCGACGTCTTCTGGTCCGGCGAAACTGTGAAGACAGAAAATATATATATATATATATTTTCCCTTGGGAAGGAAAATAACAATGACAGTATAAATACAAAGAAGAAATAGAAAGGAGAAAGAAAAGAGATCTTCTTTTATTGAGGACTATCCAAATACAGCGAGGATACTTATATATATCATGTCAGTCTTTGTATGCAGATCATGTGAGCCTGTGTATATGGAGCCAGACGACCGTCTGGCACTGTCTAGATAGAATCCGAATACTCTGATAATAATGACACTATGGTTGGCAATCAACCCTGGACTTACGGAGTACAAACATAGTTACATTCCCTAAAGGGTATACTAATGACATCACAATTGTATGTTAACACTTTTTGTTTGTTCTTTTGGCCTGCATTCGGCTTCGGCTTCGGCTTCGTATGGTACAGTACAGGTTGTTAAGTTAGTAACATTCTTTTGTATTGGACACGTTGAGAAATTAGAAAAGAGAAATGGGCAACGACTGACGAGAAAAGTAAGAAAAAAAATGACATGGTCGTGTGTCATGTGAATGGAAGGTGCAATAATTTTATCTAAAAAAAAGAAATAAAGAAAGACAAGGAAAGACAGAAAGAAAGAAAGAAGAAAAGAAAAAGCATGACATGCAAGTCGGAAGCGGAATACATGCTGATCTTCAATGCCATCGCTTCTAAATATTCGCAGTGCCCATTAAGGAAAGGAAGGAGGGAAAAAGGTGGATAGTAAGTGGACAAGTAGATAATGCCTGAACAGCTAATCTAGTCTCGTCCAGCTGCATCATCCCGGGGTATCGCTGTAGTGGAATTTCTATTCTGTGCCGAGGAGCCTTCTGAAGCTTGCGCTTGCTCGTTATTAGCGCCGCCGGACTCGCCGACCCGCTCTTCGTTTCGACGCCGTTCTTCCTCGCGTGCACGTTCTGCGTTGCGAGCGGCCTCAGCAGCGGCGTTCCTCACTTCGACATGTCTCTCTCCCACTCCAGGCACCAGACTGGCAATAAACAACGCTACAGCTCTCTCCACACGTCTAAGACCCTGCTGCATTTCTGCAGGAATGATCGGACGCTGGGCTTCACGATTCGCAGCCGGCGGAGCCAGGTTCCCATTCAGACCGGGTCTATTTGCACGGAGATCCGCTTCATTGCCGTTATTGCCCGTTGGCCGCACTGGCTCCTCACCGCCTGCGTGGACAAGTCCCTCCAGGTGTCGTTGCACTGGATCGACGATCGCCCTGTGAAGACGCTGAGGAAACCCAGTCTCGGAGAGAAGAGAGATCAAGATCGCTAATGTGACGAAGATAAACCTCGACCATGTCCCAGATTCGCTGAAGAGGTAGCAGAAAAAGTACAGTCGGATGAACAGCCAAACACGTCTCGCGTTCCGAGCGACCACATCCTGCTGATTATTTTCGGCTGCCTGGTTGAGGACGGCTTGTCTAACAACGTTCTCCATCGCAGGCTGGACAGGATTTGGAGGTATCACCGGAGCGGGATCTTGTCTTACACCAGCCGGCATACTGGATGTCTGTTGTGGCACCGTAACAGTCGGAGAGGGTTGCAGTACCGCTAGGCCCGCGGGCGAAACCAGCACCGCTTGATAGCCAGAAGGAGACGCAAGCAGGTAGAGTGGATATTGTGGTCCATTGCCTGTTGCAGGATTGGCGCCATCCGCCTGGACAGCGACGGCCCGTCGCGCTTGGAGTACTCGGAGTTGATCGGCACGGACGTAAACGTTCAGTGTGCGCGAGAGCAGTGCCTCAGCCTGACCATCCCTTGGTGCATTGACGTTGCGATATTGATCATCAATGATACTGTATAACTGGTTTCGAACGGAAATAATGCTATCGATTGGTGGAGGGATTCCTCTGGCAATTTGACCTTCAAATGCGCTAACCTGTTGCTGTAGGGCGAAAAGTCTCAAACGCCTGGTTTCCATCTCTAGAGACTGCAGAGCAGTTTGGGCTCCGAAGATGGGATCAGAATTGCCTGTGGAAGCTGGGCCCCTTGTATTTGAGGACATGGAAAAGTTTGGCATCGATTGGAAACCTCCACCAGCGGGTGGGTGCAAATTATTGCCAGGCGGTGGTGAGGGAGCGAACGGGCGCAGATGAGACGGTAGGGATTGAAACGGAGAATTGTTCGAAAGCCCAGGAGAGCGACCTGTAGCGAGTATCGACTGGTTCTGTTGTTGCTGTTGCTGCTGTTGCTGCTGCCTTCTAGCTTGGGTCTGACTTTCAAGCTGCCGACGAAGAGTCTCAAGATTGCGCAGCAGAGACTCTGTAGCATTTGCTAGATCCAAGTCTAATTGGCCAGGCGGAGTGGCAGTAGCAGGCTGATTCAAAGTCGTTCTGAAACGAAAGGTTTGAGTAGTCCGAAAGATGTTCTGGGAAGGCGGCATATTCAAGGACGGAGGATTTCGTGATCCAGGGGCGGCTGGAGATTCTCCAGCAGGAGGATTGGAGCTAGCGCTAGCAGATGTATTTGCGCTGCTAGATGCGGATTGCCTAGGTGGAAGGACGAGGTGGAGCGAATGTACTGGGTCCTAACCAATCGGTCAATATCATCTCAAGCAGAAGGCCATTCAAAGCCACTCCAATCCTGGTACTCACAGTCGGCGGTTCAAGTATGTTTTGCAGCGTCACATTGTCATCCAGGAGAGCTTTTCCACGATAGATCAGCCTCTGCTGGGCCGCAGAGGGTCTGCTCGGAATCGACTGTGTAATGCGCTCTTTGAGAGCCCCGACAGTGGTCGTGAGAGGAAGATTGTCGAAGGTGAGCCGGTTCTCGAGAGAGGGAGAAAGAACATGGAGGACTACTGTGCGAGGAGCTTCCTCCGCAGGTACTGCCGAAGCATCCCCCGCAGTGGTCGTATCTGAAGCCATATCGGCGGGGACACAATGGACTGCCCCGTGTAGTTGGTAGTGTGCTCAGCAGGTCATGTTCAGATCAAATGAGCCGGATCAAGCAATCCTAAGAGAGACCACGTGTTAGAAAATGACAGCTGACAAGTGAATGAGCAGAGCTATGGCTGCCTGGGCTGTTATTGTCAGGAGTCACTCACCTGAACAGTGGGACACTGCGTCTGGATCGGGATAAAGGAGGCGTGTGCTTTAGCTTCCCACAGGAGGCTTGCGGTTAATGTCCCAGGTTCTGGTGGCTGTGTGCACAGCTAGAGAGGAAGCCTCTAGAAGAACTGCCACCAGTGACGGGTCCTGCAGACAGCAGTCATGCCTACAGCGCGGTGAAGCTGAAAGCTGGTAAGCTGAACGGTGTCTCTTGCTGATGAATCGCCCTCCGGAACATCGTAGTGCCGGTTCTGCCGGGCGGTGAGCCGCGACGGAGATGACCTCACTGCAGCGATGGACTGCGCCTTCACGTCGAGATCAACCACCCTCCCACGCTCTGCATGATCTGCGGTCGCCGGTTTGGGGACGGCCCATCCGGAGGTTGGTATCATGGCATCATGCCTGACCAGCCGTGCTGCGGTTCTCCGCAGGACGATCTCTGCCGGCTACGGTCCGAAAAAGCCTTTGAGGTCGCCGTTTACTAACCGCAGGCAATTCACGTCATCGGGGATTCGTCGGCAGGGCGAGAAAGAGAAGAATCACAGGCAAGATGACGGCAAATCTTTCGGTTCGAGACTTGGCGCTGCTTGGCGAGATACCAAGGTCGAATGGCATCCGATTCCAATCGGTCTAGGCGTCGGCTTTCTGGGACTCTGGCAATTTTATCGGTCACGGAGGGCGCAGAAGGAGCGACTGGAGCGAGAAGAACGCGATGACCTTGAAGATGAATGCCCGCCGCCCCGAAAGAGAATTCGTCCGTCGGGGCCATGGCAGGTGCAGGTAATGTCGACGCTGCCGCTGAAGGCCATGTCGCGGCTGTGGGGTCGATTCAACGAGTTGGATCTCCCTTATTTTCTGCGTGTGCCGGGTTTCAAGCTGTACTCCTGGATCTTCGGCGTCAATCTCGACGAAGTCGGGGAATCAGATCTCCATGCCTATCCTAACCTTGCGTCCTTTTTCTACCGGACGCTCAAACCCGGTTGTCGACCGATCGATCCTGACCCTTGCGCCGTCGTGTCGCCAGCCGATGGCCGCGTCCTTCAATTCGGGATGATCGAAAGAGGAGAAGTAGAGCAGGTCAAGGGAATGACATACAGCCTGGAGGCGCTATTGGGAGAAGCCAGCCCGTCGCGAGCGGCTATCGAGACTAGTGACAGTGAGCCTGCTGGAGAGGCCTCATCCAAGGACTCCGCTGACATGCCGATGGATGAAGAGTTCGCCAGGGTCAACGGGATTTCTTACACCCTTCCTCACTTTCTTTCCGGGTCAAAGCAGATGCCCAAGAAGGAGCTCGCCATGGATGCTTCCACCACTTCGCAGCAGGGTTCCGAGGCGAAGGTCAAGGCGGACCTTGCGCTGGGAGACGGACGCCCATGGTATTCTCCTAAAACGACGCACAATGCACTGTACTACGTGGTCATCTATCTAGCACCGGGTGACTATCACCGTTTTCATTCTCCGGTTCCCTGGGTAGTCGAGAGCCGCCGTCACTTCGCCGGTGAGCTCTACTCGGTATCGCCTTACCTCCAGCGGACACTTCCAGGTCTGTTTGTCCTGAACGAGAGAGTGGTCCTTCTGGGACGGTGGCGCTGGGGATTTTTCAGTTTTATTCCTGTCGGCGCGACCAACGTTGGTTCGATCAAATTGAATTTTGACTCTGAGCTGCGAACAAACAGTCTGACGACCGACACGGCTGCCGATCGAGCTGCGGCTCAGGCTGCCAAGCGCGGCGAGGCCTATCCGGGTTTCGTGGAGGCAACGTATCACAAAGCCAGTAAGGCGCTGGGCGGCCATCCACTCCAGAAGGGTGAGGAGATGGGTGGATTCCAACTAGGCAGCACGATCGTGCTGGTCTTTGAAGCGCCGATGGGGCAACGCAAGAGCTTCGATATCGGCTGGGGCAGCGGTGAGCGAGAGGGGGGATGGAAATGGTGTATCGAGAACGGGCAGCGGGTTAAGGTTGGCCAGAAATTGGGTCGTGTGAACGTATAGAGGTTTCCAGACCCAGGATACTGCATGATTGATGAGATCTGCATGTGTGTACATTAATTAAAGCTTTACGCCTACGAAATATTATTGATTGTACAGGACGGTGCGGTGTACCAGGAACCATCTATTATCTTATGAAAACATAAAAAGAAAAGAAAAGAGCACCATACTGCGGATGCAGAGACCGTATCTCGTCCTCCGCCATAGTCCGCCGCCTCCGCCGTAGTGGAACCTTGGCGGAAGCGGAGCGGAATATATAGCCCCAAAGTAAAGAAGACTCGAACTGTACACTTTTTATCGCTTCTTACTGAAAGTGCATATAGGTACCTACTATCATTCTATATACTATGTGTGCACTTCAATGAGCAAACCGAAAATCCAACCGCTTATTCCCCCTGTCCGTCGTCGTTCGGAGATACTCCTCCCGCTGCTCGGGGGTCATCGCGTTCCATTTCCGGTCCCGGTACCGGTTGCGCAGGATATAGTAGAGCTTGGCGAAGATGTAGATGAAGATGTTGACGACGCAGAGCGAGACGAAACGCGGTTGCCGCGGCGGTAGCGGGGGCTGTCGTCTAGAGGAAGTAAATTTACTTTAGCGCATGTTCTGTATTTGAATAGATCTTTCTGTGGGGGAAGTTCATACCAGCTCGATAAATATTACTAGCAATAATCCCCGATGTCTGACAAGCCATGTTGTACAGCGCCGCGCTGACGGTTCGGCTGCGCACCGAGTTCGAGTTCCGCGAGTTCCAGCCCACCTGGATGGCGTGCGTGCTCGGGTAGGCGAGCAGCACGGTCATGACCGAAGGCTGTCCATTTGTTGACGGTGTTGATGTCGACGACGTAGAGGTAGATGAGGAACGGCAACGCCCAGAGCTGCGCCAGCAGGCCGAAGATGGCGAGGTTGCCGACTATTTCGGCCAGGTAGGTGAAGGTCACCATGGTGATGATGCTGCCGACCACGGAGGGGATGACGAGCAGATTCGTCGTGAAGGTGCCGAATCCTAGGCCCTTGAGTGATAGCGTCAGGTACTGCGATGGGGTTGCTAGATTGTGTTAGAAGAGAATATCCTAATGGCATTTATATTTATTGATCCAGATGACATACTCATGGGAGTCTGGAAATTCAATCCGATAAGATACAGAAGCCAGAGATCAAGTCCGACATGCTCTGCCAGAGGAGTTTCGGGGTGATTGGTTGACGGTTGTGCATGCTGCTCTTGCTGGGGTCTTCCCTAATGATCCGGTTGACCATGATGATTTCCTCTCTTATAGACATCAGTGAAGCCTTCCAAGAAAAGATAGATATAAATGTATGTGCATACCGCTCGGTAAACCAGCCATTCTTCCCTCTACTCCAATTCGCTGTTTGCGTTGGGCCCGGGGGCATGAGGACATAGGCAGACAGCCCAAAGGCCATGGTGATCAGGCCCTGCAATAAAATTAACAAGATATATATGACATACATATGCGGAAACTGTCGGAATAGTTTTATATACCTCAATAAGGAAAAGCCATCTCCAACCGGCGTAGCCAAGATGGCCGCGGAGATGAAGCAGGCCAAACCCTAAAAAGGAGGCAATAATGTCGGCGATATTCATCGCTGTCCACCAAAAGCCCAGTCTGACAGAAAGCTCCCCGTGCTTGTAAAAATACGAAAGATAGAGTATCATCTGGGGTGTCGTCAGAAAAAAAAAATGAACAGACATCCGTTTGAGAGACTGCTTGCACAGCAAGAGAGAAGAAGAATCTTCCTTACATCTGGAATAAAGCCTCCCTGAATCAATCCCAAAAGCACTCTGCAGACCAGAAATGACGTCCGACTAGAGAGCCAGAACTGGCCTGCGCCCATGAGGGACCACAAAACCATCTGCGTCGGAATCCAGCGATCGGGGCCCATCCATTTCGACACCAGCTGCGACGGCAGCTCGGCGCAAAGGAACGACAGTTTGAAGACGGTGTTTCCCCAGTTGTAATCTTCAAGCCATGCTTGTTAGACTCGCCTTTGAACCATTTGGCATAGATATAGAGATCAATACCATTCGTGTTCATGTGCAGGTCTTCGAGGAAGTTATCCGTCAGTGCCTGCGCGATGTTCGCTCTGTCCAATTCCAGGGCCATAAACATGAGGCAGGCGAATATGAAGATCCGGAGATCGATCTTCCTGATAATGGCGTATTCCTCGCCCCAGGTCCACCGTGCGGAAGGGTCGAATCGGTGCAGATTCTCCCAGTCTGCACGCGGTTGATAGTGCTTGGCTGTCTCCGGGTCGTCGAAGACGGAGGGCGGGTGGCGATGGCATCGGGGTTGTAAGTCTTGGAGGGCAGAAACCAGGATTGCTTTCCTTCTTGAGGAGTGCCTAGGTTCAATTGCCTGTGCAATCGCTCCTGGGAGCTGTCTGGACTCTCTGAGACAGAGGTCACAGTGTCAAGCTCCCGGCCTTGCTGGCACGCGTAACCACAGTAGCCATACTGCTGCAGAATCAGGTTTGTAATAGCCATCCTGACCATGGTACTGTACAGGGCCATTGGTCCTCAAAATAAGGGCATGTCAGGAATGTAGACGTTGCGTGCATTGAAAGGCGGGGAGATGCTATCTTGGTAGTAGCGATGGCATGAAGCTAATGGCGGAATACCCTGACCAGAGCACATCATCTAGAGGAGAGATTGCACACAGATTAGTACAGGCCAGAGAGACTGATGCAATTCGTGGAGTATCCTAGACCATGTATCTTGAGATCTGTGGATGGTCAGTTATGTATATACATATTTATCGCTCATCCGTCATTATCGCTGTCGAGGTGGAGACCTATCATACTGAGAAACTGAACGTATGAGATCTCAACCATGATCCTTGGCCCCAAGGTAAATATTGAAGTGCCATAATTGAACGTGTCAAATAATCCATGAGACACGGGCGTGTTGCTCCTTGGAGAGTTCTCAAAAGAGCCGTGTCGGACCAGACACGGGAGAATCGATGGCATCCACCACAAGATCTTCTTGGCACCGCTGCAATACGCAGTCGATAGATTATGCAGATAGGACGATAATTTGGTTGATGATGTGGGAAGGAGCAGAAACAATGCCCTGTCTAAGTTCTTGGCAGCATTAATAATGGAGAGAGAGCTATAACTTCATCACAACCCCGGATGACGTCTTCCGGTAGGAGCTCATGTTTTTATTTCAGTAGTAGACAAGGAACGAAGATGTTCTTTGATAATTCTGCACTAACTTCGGCTACAGTCTGTTTCTCAGACCATCCTTTTATTGACTTTGTACCGATAATAGCAGTACTATACAGCGATGCTATGGTTTTCAATTGAGTCTCGACCGTGGTGCTGATTTAGTGCATTACCTGGTTAATTATTTCTGATAAGGCATCAATTGCTCTTCATGCGTAACAGTGTAATTTTGAATTTATATCATAATTTTACATAAACGGAAATATCGACTGCAGCACCGCTACAACATGCTGCATTTGAAGAGTCTAGAAGTCTGTATATCTACCACGCGATAGAAATACCATCAGTGGTAGAATACCTGCCTTTGATATTAGCGTCATAGAAATTATTTCTCAAGTTATTCTCAAGCCATAGCCTACCATACAAATACTATTGCTCATCCACTTAGGCATGTACCGGAACGTTAGATGCTGCTTTGCTGTAGCAATCTCATGTCGAAATCACGGCATCAATCTACCCCGCAACACCACCTGGAGATATCGTGAGGCACCAATGAACAGAGAAACCCACCAGGATCTCGGCACTCGGAACCCAAGATGACAGTTTAGGCGGAATGATGCAAAGATCGCGTGTTATCACAAGCAGACAAATGGTATCTTCATTTCGTATCGTGGAGCGTTATGCTGACATGGCGGGGTGCAGATAGACGTTTTCTCCTCATCAGGGGTCGTCTGGCATCTTATATATATCAGGTCAATCGTCCCCGTGGATAGGAAGATATACAGAGTAGGTTGAAGGACAAAAAAAAAAATAACGATTCTACTGTCTCTGCACTCTGTATCCTCATCACGCACCATGGCCCCTGCCGTTGAAGTAGACACTCCTCCAGCCTCGACCATCGATGAGATCAAGGCCAAGGTCCAGAACACATCTCTCTCGGGGCTGATCCGTGAACCGCTTAAATACTCAGGCTCTCTGGACGAATATCGCAGCTTCGAGGTCACTCCCGTGATCGGAACGGAGTTCCCGGAACTGCAGTTGACTGATATTCTCGACGACGATAACAAGATTCGTGATCTAGCGATCACCGGTGGGTAGAGGGACCTTGCATAAATAGATGTACAGTACTTGCTGACTATGTGCAGTCTCGCGACGGGGAGTCGTCTTCTTCCGGAACCAGAATATCAACCCGGATCAGCAGAAGTTCCTGGGCCAGAAACTGGGCGAGCTGACTGGCAAGCCGAGTACTTCCAAGGTAGAGGACCATCTCCATACTTCCTTTTTGATAGCTATCCTCGCTGACATTGACTAGCTTCACAGACACGCTGTTAGCAACAGCAAGAGAGGCATCGCCGTGGATGAAAACGGAAAGCTGGATGACGAGATCTCAGTCATCTCTTCTGAAGTAGGACTTGACTTCTACCATTGTTACCAACTGACAAGTACGCGCCGTGCTGATGCGAGACAGGTGAACCGCAAGTATTACGGCGACAGATACACAGCTCATTCGCGCCGTCTTGCTAGCGAAGGATGGCACGCTGAGTATGTTCTATCCTGCGTGCTTCAATCAGAGTAACACGTACTGAGATTGTATCCCAGCATCACTTTCGAGAAGGTGCCCTCTGATTACGCCATTCTCAAGATCACTCATCTTCCGGAGGACAACAGCGGTGGTGACACCCTCTGGGCTTCGGGGTATGAAGTATACGACAGGCTTTCACCTCCGATCCAGAAATTGGCCGACACCCTGACTGCTGTCCACTATCAGGTACGTGGTTCTGCTATATTTATTCTCTTGTTTGTGCTAGACGTTTGTTGACCGGTATCCGCATAGCCTGCCTTTAACAACATCGCCAAAGAACACGGCATTGAATTGATCGAGGGAGACCGCGGAGCTCCAGAGAACACGGGATACGAATTTAAAGCCTCTCAGTAAGCAGAGACATCAACTGCATGGTTGAGCAGAGCTAATCTCACCGTTTCACAGCCCTCTGGTCCGCACCAACCCCGTCACGGGATGGAAGAGTCTCTTCGGAGCAGCAGGCCAGGTCGAGGCAGGCTGGATCGAGGGCGTCACGAAGCGCGAGAGTGACATCCTGAAGCAATACTGTAAGTTTGCAAAGACGCTATCCTCTGTTCTCATCCGGGCTGACTAGATCATATGAAATAGTCCACCAGCTCATTGCCGAGAACCACGATCTCCAGGTCCGCTTCAAATGGGGTCTCAATGACCTGGCCATCTGGGACAAGTAAGTTCTGTCCATCCAAGAGTAATAAAGAAAAATTCTGATATGATATCTCTCAATAGCCGATCTGTCTTCCACACTGCTACGAAGTAAGTTGCTCTTCTCGTATGCCAAACAATGATATAAAGATAGCGGTCTGACTTTTGCAGCGACTACGAGGGCAAGCGTCAAGGCAATCGGGTCGTTTCTTTGGGCGAAATTCCGTACTTTAATCCGGCGTCCAAGTCCAGGCGGGAGGCATTGGCTGCTGAAGCAAGTGCGTAGCAGCAGGAGACGTAGAGTAGATGTATGTCCTCTCCTAGGACAGGTCAGTCGTAGATATATGGTATAGTACAGTACATGGTACAGAACTAGGAGGTAGAGGCTTCAAATCAACTTGTTTCAAGAATAGCTGTCAGATCCAGTTGTCTTTATTAGCCCCGCATTGTAATGAAATGTAATGAATGAATGAAGTCTTAGTATTTCCCGATCTGGCTACAGATCGGACATTCCAGCCTTACTGGCGCACGGACCAGTCGATGGCCGTCAACAGAGCTTGAACGATCGACCCGCGCCGCGAGCTCAATGCAATGAATGCCTGCTCTCGCGCCTGGATCTCACTCAATTCACGTCCAACCTCGTAACATGTGCCACCATGCCCAGGCATATGCTGCGTCGCGCGCAGGCGGATCCCTCGACGCCGCCAACAGCCACCAACCCCGTTGACCAGCTCGAGCCCCCGCCTCTCCGAACCCCCGCGCCCGCCTTTGAAACGCCGCCAGGCTTCCAGCTCACGCCAAATGCCATGCCTCCGCGTGTCGAGCCGTTCGTGACGGGTGCCATCCCTTGGAATCGTCAGACGCCTGATATGGACGCGACGGTGGGGAGTACTGTCGGCGCAGGAACCGAGTCTGGAGACACGGAAGGCGACGAGGAGCACGAGCTCGAGGACGAGCCCATTGACGCAGATGGCGAGGTGGATGCTGAAGAAGAAGAGCAGGACGAGGAAGCGGAGGAGGATGAAGACGAGGAAATGCGTGATCGAAGTAAGCATCTACTTGTTTCTACTACTGCCAATTGCGATCGCATGGTTTAACCGCAATTGGATTTTCATAGATAAATCACCTTCTCCTCTGCCGCCAAATCTGCGCGAGATATCGTCCCTCGCATCATGGACCGTCTCAACACACAAACCCGGTTGCGGAGTCGCAGCGCTGCGGCATCCATCACCGTCGCAATTCTGGCAGTCGGACGGCCCACAGCCGCACACGCTGACGCTGCACTTTTTCAAGCTTGTCGCCATTGTGAAAATCCGCGTGTACCTCGACTTTGAGCTGGACGAGAGCTACACGCCGACCAAGATGGTGTTCCTGGCTGGCATGGGAGGCAACGATCTCGTCGAGTTTGCGTCCTGGGAAGGAGAAGGGCCGTGCGGTTGGGTTGATATACCACTGGAAGGCGTAGGAGGGCGCAGCAGAGGAATTGGCAGTAAAAGGGGTTCCCGCCGACGCAGAAGGAGAACAACCAGACAACAACGACGGCGACGACGGAACTCGTCCAGACGAAAGACTGCGGAGGACGCGATGGTCGATGCTATCTTGAGCGAGTCAGAGGACGAGGAGTGGGATGACAGCGACCAGCAGGACCTCGATATTGACGAGGAAGACGGCGAGGAAGATAGCGATGACGATGACGATGACGACGACGATCCTTACGCCGGCAACGTGCTCAAGGCCATGGTCATCCAGATGCGGGTCCTGGAGAACCACCAGAACGGCAAGGACACGCATGTGCGCGGGTTCCAGGTATTTGCACAGGACGACGACCGCCGTCGCGTCGCCGCGGCCGCCGCGCAGCGGAGACAGAGCATGCGCAAATCGCTCCGGGGGCGGGCCAAGGACTCGCAGGAGGAGCAGCTGGAGAGCGCCGAAGATGCGAAAGCCGTTGGTCTGGAAGAGCCAGACTGGATGGGCGAGCCGGTTATTCGATAGTGGTCGTCTCTGTTCTCATTTCCTTTCTACGGTGTTTACGGCGTTGGTATGGGTATATTTTCTTTTAAAAAGCATGGGAATGGTAAAACAGGAGGGTATTTTCTTTTCCTCTTTCGCATTGCGTATTGCATTGCATATTGCACTCTATAGAGTTAGATACCCAGCTGGATACCTGGTAAATTAAAAAAAAGTTAATGAATAAATTGATTTATTGATTGATCGATCGATTTATCTGGTTGTACTACATCTTTGCAGAAACTAGTAAACTGAATACATATCTACCTACCTTGTCTGGCGAACAGTGAAATATTTCTTTATAACAGGCCTATAAACCATATACCATATACCATATACAACATGGGTATCATAGTCATGACTGCATTCATTATACTATGAGCCTATTTCCATCTATCTTTCATATCATGAAACACAATTGAAACAAACCACAACTTCGTTTCGTTTCACTTCATTTCATTCCATTCATTCCACTTCAAAGAGAAACAAACAAACAAATAAATAAATAAATAAGGTATATTTACATACACACCAAGTAATCCTATTATAATACTTCTACTTCAACGACGCTACTGCTGCAGCAACTTCTCCAACTCAGCGGCAACCGCATCGCCCACCTCACTCGTCGACGACTTGCCGCCAATGTCGACAGTCCGGATGCCTGCCTCGGTGACGTTGCGGACGGCCGTCTCGATGAGGCGCGCCTCGGCGGGGCGGTTCAGCGAGTATTGCAGCAGCATGGCCATGGAGAGGATTGCGGCGAGGGGGTTGACGATGCCTTTGCCGGCGATGTCGGGGGCAGAGCCTGTATGCGTCAGCATATAGTATGTGTGTGTTTGTGTTTGGGTGTGTCTGACTCACCGTGAATCGGCTCATAAATACCGTTCACCTTACTCTTGCCATCCGGGATGCCACTCAGACTGGCACTGGGCAACAGGCCCAACGAGCCCGGGATGACGCTGGCCTCGTCGCTGATGATGTCGCCAAACAGGTTACTCGTGACGATGATGCCGTTGAGCTTGCGCGGGTCCTTGACCATCAGCATGGCAGCCGAGTCAATCAGGTGGTGGCCCAGCTTGATCTGCGGGAACTCCTTGGCCATGACCTCCGACACGACCTTGCGCCAGAGCCGGCTGGTCGCGAGCACGTTGGCCTTGTCCAGACTCCACACGGGGAGCGGCGGGTCGTGCTGCAGCGCCAGGTGCGCCGCCAGGCGGGTGATGCGCTCGATCTCGGCGCGCGAGTAGGGCTCCGTGTCCAGGGCCTGGCCATCACCTTCGTCCTCCTTGCGGTCCCCAAAATAGATGCCGCCCGTCAGTTCGCGGATGATGTTGAAGTTGACGTCGCGGCAGACGTCGGCCTTGAGCGGGGAGATGTCCACCAGGGATGGGGCAGCAAAGTAGCAGGGTCGGAGGTTGCCAAAGGTGCCCAGCTCCTTGCGCAGTTTGAGCAGACCTTGCTCTGGTCGGACGGCGCCAGTTCCCCATTTCTGTGGCAGTTAGCAAGAAAACAGCCCAGAATAATAATTTGCTGACAGAAACAGCATCAGCAAGACGATTGATTTCCAACGTACCGGCCCTCCAATGGCACCAAGGACAACAGCATCCGCATTCTTCGCAGCATTCAGCGCCTCGTCTGTCAACGGCACGCCAGTAGCATCTATCGAGGCCTGCACATACATGAGCAATTTACCTTAAGAGAAAAAAAAACAATAGATTTTTTTTCTGTCCTGACTTACCCCACCAAGCAAATGATCCTGAAAGTTAAAAGTGATATCATCGCGGTGTTTCTCAACCGCACGGAGGACCTGAATGATACAGACAAATTGATGAGCCAATTGCTCTTCTCTTCTTCAGCTAGCTAGCTAGCTAGCTAGCAAGTATGCAATACATACCTTCAACGCCTCAGCAGTAACCTACAAGCAAGAATATGCCAATGTCATCGTCAGTAAAAAATTGCGCTTTATTTGTCGTTGTCGTTTATGGCAGGCAGCTTACTCACCTCCGGACCGCAGTAATCGCCCGCGAAAACGACGATGTTGTAGGTCGGCATTGTGGAGAGACGAGACAACAAGACGAGACAAGGGACACACGAAGAAGAAATAGATTCTTACTTACAAAAGTCAGACAGAGAAGAGGAATAATAATTGGAGGCAACTCTGTCAGAGACAGCGAGCGACAACTCTCGCTATGACACCGCTCTGTCAGTTTCCTGCTGCGGGGCAGAACCAACCCAACCCAACCCAACCCACCCCGCAGTCCGACATCGGAGTTGAGGAAATAATACAATACAGACTACAGACAGATATGTTGAGTTTCTTTCTCTCTTTCTTGAGATCTATCTATAGATATAGATATCTTCGATTTACACACATAAAAAGTCAAAAATTTATTTATTTTATTTTATTTTGTACAGCAACTGACGATACTTCTTATCATCATATAGATAGCATTTCTCTCTCTCTCTGCTCCCACGCTGCTTTGTGATATCCATCACTGATGTGAAGTTTGAATGGAAACTAACTACATAGACAGTTATAGTAATTTACTTTATCAAAAATGGTTTGTTCTTGAACAAGAAAAAAAAAGGTGGTAAAAAAGAAAAGAAAAAGAAAAGAAACTTTCAACTGGAGCAAGATGAAAAAAAGAAAAAAAAAAAGAAGAAGAACCAACTTCGCTGAAGTGGTGAAATTGTGAAATTGAAAAAAGTAAATGAAGAAACACAACTGACGCTTCCTTCCTCGCCTGTTGTTGCCGCGACTCACATCTGACAGGGACACATTAGCTGAATTAAAACGATGATTATGAGTATTAGGAGCAAGATAAGAAGAAATTGCCCTATCAAATGACCGGACCGGATTCAATGACGCGACTCCATGCGGAAGTAACGACAGCGGCGTATACGTTTGACGCAGACTCATAGAGTCTAAATCATTTGCAGCGAGAACGGAACGACAAGGGGTAGTCGACAGCTCGTCTACTCCGTAGCTTATAGCGAAAGGAATCCTTCGAGTGCAAGCCCGATGAATGCAATTGTTAGACCAGCCCGGGGACGAAAAATCCCTGGAAGTCCTCGTAAGCGGACATAGAAGCCAGTTGTCGTGTTGTGTTGGATGCAACCGGCCCGAGACAGAATCGCCCGCCTTCACTGTCCAGATGGGATTACGCACTTTTCTGCGCTCTGGCAGCTTTGCGCTTCGCGAGATCGCCCTCGGCTAGCCACTTGCTGGCCTTGACAAGCTGCACCACGTTAATGAACTGCTTGAGCGCCATGACAGGAGCGGAGATCCCGGTGATCACCCAGGGCCAGAAGCTGTCCAGTTTGTTGGCACGGGCCAATTCGAGGGCGCCGGCGCTCCATGGACTGGGGAAAATCGCAGTGGGCACAGGCTGAGCAGGTTGCCCAGACTCCGTGTTGGGGAGCGGCTGCAGGAGAGAAGGCGACAGCGTCGGTGACGAGAAGGACAACAGGTACAGGCCGATGAAGAAAAGCTCATTGAGAGCGCAGCAGACGAAAAGCACGGTCTGGATAAGTCAGCGTGGAGAACGGAACTGGCAGAAGGGGGAAGGACGTACCCTGCTGTTGTAGTATTGATACAGGATCCAGCTCCGGCTAGAGTCGACCTTCTTGTGACTTTGGCCAGACCCGCCCATGCTCAATGTCGCATACATGTGCATATAGTGGCTCGCCAGGTCCAAGCTGATCAGGCCCTGGAAGAGAATCGCCCACCGCGGCCAGGCTGAGCTCAAGAACACCAACAGGCATGCAGTCGTACAGCGGTCCGTAACCATATCCAGCACGGCTCCGAACTGTGTCGACTGGTCAAAGTGACGAGCTGCGACGCCATCCAGGGCATCTAGCAGGCATGAAACGCTGTACAGAAAGGAGCATGTGCGAGGATGGAGGGGCATGTAGTACAGAGACGCAACCGCGAGAACGATTCGCACGTAGCCTGAAGAGAGAAAGTAAGCTTTGCTGCAGGAGAGAGGGGGAGAGAGAGATTCTCCAGAAATGCTACATACCGATAATGTTGGGCCAAAACAAGAATACATTCTCATGGGGCTCCTCCGCAGCCTTCTTTCCTGGAGAGCCTGTGGGAACCGAGCCGTTGCCAGTGGGAGACGCATCTGTATCCTCTGAGGCTGCCGCAGCCTTTTGTCTTCTTGTCCTTACGCTCATATTGCCTTGTGAAAGCTGTTCGCTTGTCCGGAGGTGCTTCGTGGCAGGATGTGAGGGCCGATAAGGTCACGAGTCGGCGGAGATAACGAGTCGGTTTGCAGCGGAAAAAAATCTACAATGACAGGAACGACAGCAGAAGGCAGGAAGGGATTCTCGTTGGAGACTGACTTCTTGTCGGGAGTTGCAAGACCGTCAAGGTATGTACTGCACCTATGTGGCCAACTGACACTCATCAGCATCCTCCTCGACTGTCGTATGCCACGATGGAAAGGGGAAAAAAAAGCAGACGAATGATCCCGTTTTCCCCACGACAACGCCACAACTAATACCTACATACAACGCAATCCCTGCCTTCCGCCCCCAAGTGCGAGAAGAGAGGCAGCGTGTCAGACCCGTAGCGTGCCCGAGAACGGTCGTGTCAAGAAGAAAAAAAAGGGAAAGGATCGATCAGGCGAAAGTGTCGCACCGAACCGGATACGGAATCCTCGACGGATGGACAGCTGAGTTGGGAGAACAGCTGGATCGGAGAGGATTCCCCCAGGAAGGATCTGGTTCGCGTGACCTTAGTCGATAAGAAGGAGTGATAAGCGTAGGCTGATGTGGTACTTTTTTTACTTGCCCTTTGGCACACGACGCACAGAGATAGGGAGGGCCCGGAGGAGCCTGCTAGGCAGAGACTATACTAGTAGGCGGTAGCGTAAGGTTGCAAGTGGAAGAAGAAGAAGAGGGCGACGTAACTCTGCGCACGTCGTGGTCGTCAACACAGGGCTCTGTGTCTTGCATGGGCGCTCTCAAAGTGCAGAAATGTCGTTTGAGTCGACCTCACTGTCTGTCAACTCTTTCTCTGCCAGAGATGCAGCCACGACCTCATAGTTGAACGGGGATGGCGGCACGCCGGGAGCGGAGTAAAAGAGGGCAAGCCAAGAACGCGCGATTGTTGGCCCCCGGCCGGCCCGCAGCAACGGAACCAAGCCGCAGGCATCGCCAGCCAGCGTGTCAGCTGCAAGCAAGATCAACACGAATCCTTCCATACGAGCCTCAAATTCCTTACAGGGTGATGTGTGTGACATGACTGAATAGTAATGTGTGGATTAGTCAGCATTAGGGGGCTAACCAAAAGTATATACAGCACAAGCACAAGACAGTCCAGTGGCTCTGCGAGACCCCGGCTGTCTGCACATCAGGGTGTCAATCCTATGTACAAAAGAAATGAAACCATGTCTAAGAGAATGCATCTAATATGTAATGGAGCTGGCATCATGTCCGTGATCTGCGCGGATCAGTCGCCTCCTGCCGCCGCCAGTCTCTCGACTCCTTCGTGCCCATACTGCCCAGTCCTCCCTCGAGTCGTCGTTCCCATCCTCCAAGGCGCACGACAAGGCAGGTCGCGTTGTCGGCGTCCTTGCTGACCTCCGTCGCGAAGCTGACGACATCTCGGGCGCCTTGGTCGGGAGTGCGAGCCTCCTTGATGATGTCGGCAATCTCCTGGTCGGGGAGCACGCCGCTGACTCCGTCGGACATCAAGACGAGGAACGAGTATTCGGCGGGTCCCATCTCGACTCGCCGCAACTCCGGCTCGGCGGACACGCCAATTCGCTTGGAGTGGATGTCTCCAAAGGCCCGCGTGTTGGCCAGTCCACTCATGCGCTCCTCCCCGAACGAGTCAGTGACAAAGGTTGCAGCATACCGTCGCAGGCGACTGGCCTCGGTCGGCGAAGAGGGATGGTGATTTGACGTCAGGGGAATGGCAGCGCCCGTTGCCGTATGGCATAGAAGGATTCTCGTGTCACCAACATGAGACACTAGCAACGACGACGGGGCGGAAGGATGCCAGAACGGGGTGGGTGTCGGTGTCGAGATCATGGCGAGGCTGCACGTGCTCCCGCCGTGAAAGCGTTTGGGTCCTCCGATCAACATGCTGCGTGACTGACTGGGACTGTCGAGAATGTCGTTTCGATTTAACGGTTGATCCGCCTGCACCGGATCGTCCTCATTTTTGGCAGCCTGCGCAGAGACAAAATCGAAGTCTGCCTGCAGAAAGGCATATTCGAGGACCTCCTCCATAGTGACACCGCTGATGGGAACTTTCTGGCCGGCGTCGACGGAGGAACTCGGTCCATGACCTTCTGGCTGTTCCTCGGTCCCAAAGAACTGAAAATGAGCCGGTTTGAACCTCTTGAAGTATCCACCGACTAGACTCTTCCAATCCTGCACGAGCTTCCTCTCCAGTTCCCCTATCTTCTGCCTGTTCGCAGCCTGGACGATGGGCAAGCCTGCATGATGGAAGCCCATGTGTCCATTCTTCTCCTGCTTTGAAGTCCCGGCAGTTGATGGTCTTCTCAAACTGGACTGTAGTTCGAACTTGGTCGCAGCATCCTGAATGTACTCATGGAGATGATCTCTCAGGAAGTCGCTGCACTCTGATCCACCGTGTCCGTCGAAGACGCCAAAGTAAAAGACTTGCGGATCCCCGCTCGCGCTGTCTGCTCCCCGACCCTCTGATGGAGAAGGCACCGAGGGAGTCTCCGTACCAGTGCCTCGCCGTATCGTCAAAGACAAAGGGGCGCGCTTCGCAAAGGCAGGGAGCTCGATCACACCGGCCTGGAACGTATCCTCATTGGAATGGCGAGATCCTCGAGAGATGGAGGCTCCAAAGTGATGTTTCGCGCTGCGAAGGGGAATCCGCACTACCGTGGTCTCGCGGGAGACGCCCGCGGGGGTCTGAATCGAGGCAGGGGACTGACGGGTGGTCCCCGTATGGGGTGTCGAGGCGGAACGGGGGAGTTTATGGAACGAACCGGTTGGCCCGCGGGAATCAGGGTGTAAGGACGAGGAGGGGAGGTGTGTGACGAAGTAGTCGTGGAAGTATCGTCGGTTCGACTGCCCGCTGCGATTCCGAGCCAGAGCGTCATTGCCGTGCTGACGCGCAAAGGAAGCGATAAAGCCTATTCAACGTAGACATGATCAGCAACACCCAGCCGTTGTAAAAGACTTGCTCAACACCTGCGATCTCTGACGACCAGGCGCCGGAGAACGGTTGCGAAGAAGAGGGGCTGCCCACTGTAACTGTCGGCCAAGGTCCAGGCCTGGACGGTCAGTCGCGACGCCGGAGTCGGAACCATCAATGTGCAGACATTGGCAGGGCCAGACAAGGGAAAGGAGGTGAGGCGCAGACGGTTGGGCAGATCTTTCAGGTCGCAGAGAGGAGGCGGACGAAGACAGCAGCAGAGCGCGCGGGCGTTGGGCCCGGCAACAAGGCTCGGAGATGATGTCGCTGACCGCCCGCCACTAAAAAAGAACACTCGCCCCCTTAGCGTGTCTCGATCGCTCACCCGATTGGCCCGCAGCTGCCCATATATCCTCTTTGGGCAGGATTTTATTTTAGAAACCAGACAGTTCTTGAAATTCGGGTGATTTTTGCGAGTCATTCAATTGAAGCTAAGGAGACTACCAAAATAGGCAATATTCTCTGTATCGTAACGTCCTTGACGGCATGGCCACCAATAGCCTACTCATACCTTAGGTAGGTAGGTATATTGTCTTGTAAGGTTAAGCTTGTGGCCAGAATCTGGCAATAGTCGATACAGAAGCCTAGGCTCATAACTAGAGGAAATATGCTTCATTTCCCCCCTTCCTCTGAGGACAGGGATAGTAGATGGATTTCTTGAAAATGAATTTCGTATTTCATCGTTACGTTCGCATGACTAGTGTTGCGCGACATGCTCTTTGCAGTGCCACAAACTTCGTACGAACCCACGGATATACGTGTTTCCAGTCCAAGATTCATCAGATGGAGACCTCTTTGCATTGCTCAACAGGAGGCTGGCCAAAAAGCTTTCGCCCTCCCCTGAAACTTCTTGTCAGGGCAACTTTGGCATACTCCCTCATCTGGTTTTCATATTCACCGATGCTGGCCGCAGACAAGCCGTCCTTGGCTAAGATCTTGGTTAGCGTGGTCGCATCCTGCAGCGCCGTGGCCGCCCCGACTCCGCCTGCAGGGGACATGACATGGATGCTGTCTCCCAGGAGAGTGACCCGGGCTGTCGGTTCCCATCTTGGCAAATCTGGGACGGTGGTGACGATGCGAAGAGCCGCTGCTTGCGAGGGATCCTGCAGCTCGGCGAGGCATCTGATGGACGGATCCCACTCGCTGGTGAGCATGAGACTGAGCTCGTGTGGCGGCTGTTCCAGCGTTTGGGCCAGCATCTCCTCGGTCGGACCCAGGAGCCGCGAAGGGACGAGCATCGACCAATAGACGTAGTCATCCGGTAGATCAGGGCGGACGTTCTTGTGCGGAAAATGCATCTTCTCGACAAACATGGTGACGGGAAGCTCATTGTCGAAGATAATCTCCTGGATTATGGGCGCCGTGTCTCTGCACAGCGTCAGCCACTTCAGCAGCTTTGGCGAAATGCGCTCCTGCAGCTCGGGGGTGAGCGGGGTCTTTCCGTAGAGACAGCAGCCCTCCGTGTCCAGCACTCTGTACTCGGGCAGATACTGCTTGCGCACGAGCGAGCGGCTGCCATCTGCTCCTACGAGAAGCGATCCGGTGGCAGAGCTTCCATCACTAAAATACGCCGTGACTGAGTCCCCCTGGATTTCGTACCGTTGGAAGGTCTTCCCCCAGGAGATGTCTCCCTCCAAGCCCTTCAGGAGCACCTTTCGCAGCAAGCCCCTGTCTACGGTGTATGGCACGGGACCACGCAGCGTCCGGCTGGCAATGTAGCTGGCATCGAGCGCGTTGAGGGTGCTTTCGCCCATGACCGTCTCCGCACAGGTGGTTTCGAACCCGTGCCAGAGCTCCGGCGTCAGCAGGTACTGGAGGTCGGGGACTGAGTTAGGAAATATTTTGATCCGGTAGCCCTGCGCTCGGGCGTCGGGGGAGGGGTCGCGCTCGAAGACGCTGAAGCTGACGCCGTGACGCTTCAGGCCCTGGGCCAGCGCGAGGCCGCCAAGGCCGGCGCCGATAATCAGAACGTGGCCGACGTGCGGGACAGACATGTCTGGGAGCGAACTGGTGGCTGTCATCGACTCATCGCATCGCATGGCAAGCTGGGGGGTTCTCCACGCGTGGCTGGCGGCGGGTTTAAATTAATAAATACTCCGAAGCGCCTTCCTGATCGGAGTGCTAGCGGGGAGCCATCGCCCCCATCCACGGCACGTCCGAACGGCCGAGACGCCACGGCTTTCTTTGTTGCACAGCGCTGGCGGGCAGAGATGGGTGCTGCGGCGGTTATAATATGGACTCGCGGCACCGCGCCTGACGTAGCATGCACGCCTCTCTAGAGTCCCTGGCTCCGTGCGTCTTCCTCCAGATCGGCACCGTTTGGGGTTTCTCCACTCTGCAGCATGCTGTTGTCTGCTGTGGCCGCCGCGCCCAGCCCCAGCTCCATCGGCTTTGTGCTAGCTGCTCTGGTGCTGGCCTTCTTGCTATGGCATCGCCTGAGTCGCCCTCTCGCGACCATGAGGGGGCCGAGAGGCTACCCCTTGATCGGGATCGGGCTGACCCTGCCGCCCCGGGCCACCGAGGTGTTTCGACAGTGGGCGCTCGAGTACGGGGAGGTCTTCAAGATGCGCGTCGGATGGTACAACTGGGTGGTGATCAACAGCCCGGAGGCTTTCAAGGAGATTCTGGATCGGCAGGTAAGTCTGACCCGTCGCAAATCTGACTGCTGGAGGACTGACAGGTGAATCAGTCGCATTCGACGTCGTCCAAAATCCCGGCGCCGATCGGCCATGATGTCGCGACGGGAAACATGCGCCTCTTCACCATGCCTTATGGCCCCAAGTGGCGCAGTCACCGGACGATCATGCATCAACTGCTCTCGCCGAAAATGACTCTTACTTTTGTCCCGACCCAGGAGTTCGAAGCAAAGCAGTTCCTGTACCAACTGGCGTTTGACAACGCCGACCAGGCCAAATGGGCCCAGCATGTACGGCGCCTGTCCTTCTCCATTGTCATGACGTCGACCTACGGACGTCGGATTGATAGCGGGGATCATGAGGATCTGCGCATCGCTGCTGAAACGTCGAAATCCATGGCCAAGATCAGTCGTCCGGGCGCCTTCATCGAGGACGACTTTCCATTTCTGGCGAAACTGCCTCATTGGCTGCAACCCTCCCGCAGAGCTGCCAAAGAGCACTATAAGATTATTCGGCGCGGGAAGATGCGGGCTTGGGAGCGATTACGAGCAGAACTGGAGGCGGGGAAAGCGCCTCCCAGCTTCGGGAGAAGTTTGATGGAAAGCGACTACAAATCACAGGGCCTGACCGATGAAGATGCAGCTTGGATTGTCGCTGGTAAGTTCTAGCTGCTTTCAGGTTACTCAATCACTACGATTCTTAACATGTGCGTCCGACAGGTCTCGTCGAAGCAGGCGCGGAGATTACTGCGGTCGTGATCCAAACGCTCATCCTGTTCCTTGCGGCGGCGCCAGAAGCGCAGGAGCGAGCGAATGAAGAACTGACGAGAGTGGTAGGCTCGGAGCGCCTGCCACGCTTCGAAGACCTGCCTGACCTGCCTTATGTGCGGGCCTGTGTGAAGGAGACGATGCGGCGAGCACCGGTGACGACCCTGTCCATGAAACATTTTACGGACCACGAAGTTGTCTACAAAGAACACCGGATTCCCAAAGGCACGGTGGTCTTTGCGAACACGTCCTTTCTGCACCATGATCCCTCTCGGTATGAGGAGCCATTTGCGTTTAAGCCGGAGCGCTATCTCAACCACAACCGTTCCTCTGCCGAGTACGCGGTCGCGGCAGACCCGTATCAGCGGGATCATTTCACGTTTGGCGCGGGCCGGCGCATCTGCCCGGCAACGCGGCTGGCGGAGAACACGCTGAACATTGCGGCGGCGCATCTGCTGTGGGCATTCGAGATCCGACCACCGCTGGAGGTGGACTCGGAGGGCAAGCAGGTCGAAGGGCAGGTTGATACGAGCGAGGACGCGTTCGAGCCGGCCGGAGGGTTCCAGGCGCCCAAGCCGTTCCGCGTGCGGTTCGTGGGGCGCAGTCCGGAAAGGATACAGCTGGTGAAGGAGCAGTGGGAGCTGGCCGAGAAAGTGGGCTATCAGCTGCGCGGCCTGACGGTGGATGCAGAAGGCGTGGCGGCGTCATGACATGACTGTATGCTTGAGATGTACATACGGAGTTTGGGCTGGGTAACGGAAATTGCGAATGGTATTTTTGTAAAAAAGCGACGGTTTGTTAATAATAATCATTACCCGTGCTCCCGCCCCAACATCGTCCCGTGTTGGTGCGTTGCACCGTAACGTCCATTTTGACCACAACGTCCAATTTTGAATATTTCATCAATTTTCTCAACATCTAGACTAGTATCTAAATACATTAAATAGCGCATTAATATCTCCTGGATCCTGGCTATCTCCCTGAGTATTTT